AATAGCCGACATGGATAAAGCAATATGATGACTTCAATGCCTGCTAACTAAAAGGATAACATTATCATCAGTGATCACATTTAATTTTTAAGGATATGAGATCAAGTTGTTGTCAAGCCACAATGATCTAGTGTTGAGGGTGAGAGATGTCATTCTTATTCTTGTAGGATATTATGAGCTCCATACACCCTCTATCATAAGAGTCCTTTGTGGTAAGCCAGTAAGGCAATTAGCTCTTTTACATTTGGACAAGAGTAGGGCTTAGAACCCCTTTAGAACAACATATCATGGATCAACTGGTCAGGCCATTAACCAATTGTCATAAGCAAGAAAAAGTCCTAGCAGCTTAAGGTTGCTTATGGGGAAATTTTGTTCATATTAAATAGTCATATGTTACGCTAAACACATCTAAGTCAGTGATACTGGAGGGCTAAGACATAATCTTTATAAAATGAAAATAGAAGAAAGCTTGCAATCGTTGAAGAGTTTGTCTCATATTGGTTGAATAGAAAATAAAATTAAGTTGCAATGGTAGAAAAATTAAGTTTGCCGCTGCAAAAGAAAGAAAAGCATTCATTGCTTGTGTAGTACTGAACTAAGCTAAGCTAAGTGCCCTACTAAACTTAGAAAAAAGATGTAAGAACATGGAATCTATATAAAGACAATACTTGTCCCTCCGATGTATAGTACTGAACTAAGTAAGCTAAGCTAAGTGCCCTACTCAAGGTTTGAGGTAAATTACCTCAGGTGGTGCAGCACAAAGCATGTAGAAGCAGTGATAATTTCTTTCAGGATCGGACACTTGACAGACACGAGATCTTTCCAGCAGATATGTTCTGATAGCAGCACCAGAGATTCTTCCCCTTTTGTCAAACTGAATCTCAACGAATTTACCGAAGCGACTGCCACCAGTAAATGTTGGTCAGCAAACTTTAATCAGTTAATATGATGATAGTAATGCTAATAATCATACTTTACTCCATTTACAAATGATCACTAAAACGGATTTTAAAATTTTGAAACCATATATATACTTCAAAATTTTGAAGGGGCTGGGAATTCAAAGGAGTAGTAGTAAAAAAGAAAGAGAATTCCCAATATATAACCAAAATAAGGATAGTCCACAAAAATGTGACTTAGTAACTTTTAGTGACTACAAAAGTATATTCTAACTTTAGTCACATTTATATCCATAAATTGTCTATTAATAATATTTCAGGAACAACTTCAAAAAGGAATATCTGTTCTTTCAAATGGTAAATAGCAAGGCCATCATCTAAAGTGAAAATTTCACCAACCTTGAATTGTTGTTTCTCACTGTTTTTGCATTTCCAAATGCTTCAAGAACAGGATTCGACTGCCAAATACGTATCCATATATATTTATTTTAGCAGCCTGTAATTTCAACAGAATAGAAAAAGAACAAATAATTGTACAAACAATACACCTCAAGGACTTTCTGTTCCACAGACCTCCCCTCAGCAGAAGCAGCTCTACCTCCCATATAAGCAAGGTACTGCATAAGCATTTTTGTGCTTTCGGTCTTGCCAGCTCCACTTTCTCCACTAACCAAAATTGACTGGCTTATCCCGTCATTCACCATCTGCCTGCATTGAGAAAGAGTAAATAAAATAGAAAGTAATTAGGAAATGGGTAGAGAAATAAGAAATTACCCTAGAGAGGATTAAAAACAAGGTGATTTTCCCTAACTAGAGGGTACTAAGTTTTTTGCCCTAAATAGTCAATTCTATTTTATAGCATTAATACTGCCATGTCAATGCATGATAATGCCATAATAGAGTTGTAATTTACTCCTATTTTGAGAAAATAAATACTGCTTCCTATTTAGGAAAACCAGCTTTTAATTATTCCTATTTTGGGAAATTTCCCTAAAGAAATTGATGGTTAACCAGCCCGCAAAATGTTGACAGCTTGCCTGTAAGAAGCATCTGCAATAGCAAAGGGATGGGGGCTTAGTTCTCCAAACACAGCTCCTTTATACTGTTCCATCACATCTTTTCCATATAAGTTAGGCAGCCTTTTAAAAGGGTTCACAGCGATCAATATGTTACCTGTGTAAGTCTGAGGGAACAATTGGGTATTTAAGTTTAAATACAGATATGATAATAATGAATACATGAACTGATGAAAGTAATTCCTTGAGCAAAGGAGAGTGCTTACATAAATTTCATTGAAGGCATATCTGCATTTTAAGTTCTCCAAAACTCCCGGTTCATGCAGATAGGCAAGCTTTGTCATATCATCCACTCCACCAGAAGGAGCTTCAGTGTCTTTTGGGTAGACATTAGATGCCTTGGCTATAACCTACAGCCCAAAGTTCCATTTGGGACATATTAGGTAGGGGCGTAAGGCAATCTTGAGCCATTATAACTGAACTTCTCAAGCAACAAGAATGCATCGAAAGGGTACAGGAAAACAATATTGGAGTGTAATAATATAAATAAACCAATTTCCATGAAAAGAAAATGCAATTATTTAGAGGCTTTAATGCTCCTATATAGGTTGGGTTCGAATGAGAAGACCATATATGAAAAGTGAAAATTCATCAGGTGCATTGATTTTGAAAATCAAAAGGACTATACAGATGTGGGCGCACTAAATGAAGGTAGACTATATCACTATATCACACCGAAATGCAGGCTATGTAGCCCGTTGATTAAATAATTAAAAGCTCATTAATAATTATAATATCATTTAACCATCAATTGCATTAACATAAATGATTAAGATGCATTCTCATTTTCATGGAATTGATCCTTTTTATTTGAACCAAATACACACACACACACATATACTAATATATACACACATATAAAGAATTTGTAGATCAAGTGATTACCGTCTTCCCTGATGTACAATTTACTTTAATGTCCTCGCCATCGACTTCCAACACGTTCCCATCAATCCAAGCTACCTCAGGATCTTCAACCCAAACATGAGATCCAACCACAATCGAGGACAAAGCACTCTACACAAAATGTAGATTAGTGTGAAACATATATATCCAGAGTATAAAGTAATGAATGCACATGCAGTCAATTTAATTATGTGTTATGCAAATAAATTTCTTTAGCAAACATACAATATGCAATGAAAGTACTCAATCAAATAGCTAAATAGCTATTACATCTCTTAGCGCAATTACTGTAGGGTATCATCGAAGCCTTAGGGTCTATCATCTCTTAGCGCAATTACACAAAAGTTTTTGGTTGTTTACGTTACCATGGCTCCGTCCGTTCACACACCACAAATAAATGATAGCCTCGTTTCGGCTCGTGTGTCTATCTTAGCTGAATTGGCCATTCGCCCATCCATGATCATGCCCATATATGTTTCTATCGATAATCTCCGAAAGAAACTTTACATTTCCCAGGGAATCCTTTTGGCCCGGGAGGGTTGCATGTCCAGATTTATTTCGTGACATGGGGGAAGGAAGGGTGTAATGAGGAATGTGGAAGATGAGGAATGCATTGGGGAGGGAAATAAAGAGATCAATAAGGACGGGTTGGTGGAATTTGTTGGAGCCGTTACTTGTTGAGCTCCGGAAAATAATTCCAAGAAAACTATATACTTGGAAGTAATTAGAGCAAATCCTTTGGATATTACTCAAAATTCAAAAACAATCTACGGAAATAAGAAAAAGAAGAAGAAATGCTTGAGCTTTTTGAAATAATCTCATACCATCTTTCTGAATCCAGATCAACCAAGAAGATCGTGGATAGATTTTACATTGTCTATTACACCAGAAAGCTGCTGCCGGAATGGCAGGCCTTTAAATTATACATATATGTACGTATCTCTTTGCAGAGAAAACATCCTTTGAAAATGTTCCAGTTTCATGCGACTTTGCCTCCCTCTTCTCAAATCAGGAGTGGATGGCGCTGGCGGGTTTTCTCTTCAGAAAGGGGCGGGGCGGTAGTTGTTGTTCGTTAGTTTGTGATTCTGTATTCATGCGTGCAATAAGCTAATAACAACTACTTGGAACATGCAGAGCAGCCACGAAACAGAGGAGGTTGTTAAATTTTTTCTCCCAACTTTGCCCTTTGTCTTGAAAGAAACCCGTTAATCTGTTACACATGTCACCTCCTTTTGACACCGCATTTTGAGTTCAACTTTTCAACGAGCCCCTTCGAAAATATTAGCGAATGGAAACTTATTTATAGAAATATTATTCAAAGTTATTCTATGTGCTCACGTTGTAAGATGCATTTTTCATCTTGGATTGTCTAAAAAGTACTGTATAAATATTTTCAGAAGTTGAATTCCATTAATTTTTAACTTTCTTTATTTAACCATTTATCTATCATTTCACATTTTACTTTTTATGGATTCATCTTATTCTTTTTTAATTTTTGAAAGTTAAAATTATAAAATAACCATTTTATTCTTTATTTTATTAAACAATAATTATTTCACGTTTGCCAATGCACAACTTTGACCGTCATTATATTTAATTATGTATTAGTAAAAATAAAATAAAAATCAGATTATAAAACTTAGTAATGAGACGAATTTAACAATATTTTTCAAAAAAAATAATTCACATACATCAATAAATAAAATATAACCAAAGTAAAGTATATGAATAGTGTATATATTCCAATGTTGTAATTAATGAGATATGGAGGATAGTATAATTTTGCTCCATCAGTATGTCAATTTTCATTCAAATTATACGAAAATTATACATTCACTCTATCAATTGAGTTTGTCCGTACAATCAAACCACCATCAATATTCACTGTACATAGTTTTTTACATACAATACATTTCATTTTCATTTACCCCAGTGCCGCAAAGGCTCCCACCTACGGTGGGGTAAGGGGGGGTCGGATGTACGCAGTCTTACCCCTGTACTAAAGCACAGAGAGACTGTTTCCGGATGACCCATACAATACATAAATCATAAAATTATTTTTATAAATGTTTTTTTTGACCAACACTTTTTACAAATAAATATAAATTATTAAAGCCAAACATTTTGATGCAAAAATAAATAAATTCAGAGTTTAATTTTTTCGTAACTAGTAAGACAAAAAAAGATATGTAGGGAAGGAGAAAGAGATCTTTAAAACTTTCAAAAAATAACAACTAACTTGCTAATTTTTCATAACAGGTACAAAACTATTGTAATGTAATGTGATGGGCTTACAAAACTTGGGTACCGAAACCCATCTAATTTAATTGGGTACGGTAGAGATTTCCAAGTGATAATCAAATCATTAGTCAAAGCCTCTGTCTACCATCATTTTTCTTACTCTTTCTGCATCCTCATTGCGACCAGCTTTAACATAGATCTTTAGTAAGAGCTCAAAATTATGCTCATTCTCTGGCTCCAAATAAAATAGATGCTTAGCAGCGACCTCTCCAATATCAGCATTGACAGAAAGGGAGCAACCATAGAGCAATGCTCCCCATATGGTTGGACCAGCCTCTACATCTATTTTGTTCAACAGAATGAAGTCATAAGCTTTGGTTATCAATTGTGCTCTAGCATATAGATTAACCATACAAGCATAGTGTTCCATTGTTGGTTTAATCTTGTACCAGTCTTTCATCAGAACGAATATCCGCTCACCATCATCTACCAGCCCCATATGAGCACATGCAGCCAATAATAATAAGAATGTGACAGTGTCCGGCATTGTACCAGAGTTGACCATATTTTGGAAGTAAGCAAGGGCTTCACGGTCCTGGGAGTGAGCTGAAATTATTGAATTCCACGACACAACATCCCTTTCAAGCATCCGGTCAAACAACCATCTCGTTTGTTTGAGCCTGTTGACACTATTAGAAGAATAAAACGAAATCACTGAGTTTGCAACTGATAAATTATTCCATTCAATTCCACGACGAAGAACCCATCCATGAATTTGGGATCCCAGTTTCAGGACCTGCTCTCTTTGCCTGAAAAAATGTGAGGTGATCCATGTTATCTCAAAAAAATGTGAGGTGATCCATGTTATCTTGAAAAAATGTGAATGTATTTATCTCGAAAATTTTCTGTGAAACATAACTTTTTGTATGTTGTGATCTCAAATCTGAAACTTTCTAGTTTAGTTTGAATGTTTTCAATCTGGTATGAATCTTTCTAGTTTTGAATAGTCTGAATATTTTGAATAAGGTGTTAATATTTCTAGTGTAGTCAAAATGTTTTTTGTAGCATCTGAATCTCTAGTATGAATGTTTTCGGTCTGGTTGATTTGATCTCGTTAAATAAGACTTGATAATGAACAAATGAAATAGGGTGAATAAAACTACACCTTACACGGAGCAGTTTTAAGTTGCTGAGTATAGCTGATATAGAGATATAGTTGGGGTTGAAGCCTTCATGCATCATGGTACGAAACACATCCACTGACTCCAATATAAGGCCATGCCGAATATAACCTACAAGCATAGAGTTCCACGAAACCAAGTCCTTTTCTGGAATATGATTGAACATGTTTCTAGACTTAGCAATATCACCACATTTGGCATACATAACAACAAGTGCATTAAGAATTACCCTGTCTTTCCCAAACCCACAACGAATGGTATGGCGATGAACTTCCTCCCCGACCTGAATCAGCCTAATTCCTGCACAAGCTTTAAGCACACGAGGAAAAGTGTGCAGGTCTGGCTCCACGCCCTCTTCCACCATCTGAAAGTAAAGCGCCAACGCATCCTCGAACAACCCCCTCTCCGCATAGCCTAATATAAGTGAATTCCATGGAAATGCAGAAGAATGTCTATCGCGCATTTGATCAAACAGCTCGTGGGCATCCTCCACGCGACCATCCTCAGCATACAGCCTGAGAAGCTTCGATGAGAGGCCAGTGTTCTTACGTAAAAGCTTGTGAGGAATGACGCTGTGGATTCGGGTGGCAAGAGCAAACGCTTGTAAATTGAAGCAGGTCTCAAGAAGGGATGAAAATATACCTGGGTCATTAATCTCAACACCATTCTTTAAAGAGGATTCTATATCACATATGATATTTTCAAGAGCTTCGAGCTTTGATGGAGGTTGATTTCTCGCGTTCACTAGCTGTGCTGGTGTAGAAAACGGTTTCTTGAATTTGGATTTGAGATCAGATTTTTGTCGAGGTCTTTTAGAGGTTTCAGGGGTTTCGTTAACGGAGTAATGAAAGGAACAAGAAAATTTTGTACTAACCGCCGCTGTCAACGGTAAGATCATCATTTTTAGCGGCAGAATGAAATACGCGCTTCAATTCTTCCCTTCAAATCTGCTCACAAGAATGAATGCATTTTCAAACCGGTAGAACTGTAGCATAAGTCCTCTAACTTTCGTAAAAAGTTAAATAAATCCTTTTATAGGAAGCCATGTCCCACCGTCGCCATTTACGGGCAATTTTCGGTGGAATTTTTTGATGAAATTTTTGAACATCTTCTTCATTAAGTCTAGTTTACTCATATCAAATTTCAGCTAAAAATTCAATCGGGAAGGCATTCAAATGAATTTTTGAAGATAAATGCGCAGTTAGATAGCGCAATATATTTCAGAAAATCATTTGACTGTCTTCTCGATTGAATTTTTAGCTGAAATTTGCTATGAATAAACTAGACTTAATGAATAAGATGCTCAAAAACTTTCATAAAAAAATTACACCGGAAACCGCCCCAAATGACAACAGCCGGACAAAGCCTCATGTAAAAGGGTTTATTTGCACTTTTTATGAAAGTTCGAGGGCTTATTTGATAGTTCTCCCTTTCAAATATTATATCTAACACTAAAAAGTTCCTAAAAACAATAAAATTAACATCATTAAGAAAGATGTTTTTATTTAACTATTACTAATAAAAAGCATTTGAAAAAAATGTGAATATAAATTATTATGGATAGTTTCATATAAGAGTTACAATGATGTAAAATTTGATTACAATTACAATTATTTGATGTAGATAGTAAAATGTGATTAAAAGTTATATAAATAATGACCAAAATAATACTATTGTTGTAAAACCATCAAAATGACATGTGTGAATGTCCATCCTTGTAATCAGGACACTAAGCAAACACAAATCCTTGTAATCACACACATGATTAGATTATATATTGCCGGCAAATTATGTAGAATCATTTCTAGATGATTCATCCCTAAGCTTGGCTAGTATAAATAGGGTTTGTTTCATTCATTGTAATCTAACTTAGAAACTCAGAAATTATAAGATTAAAAAGAAGATATTCAGAGTTTTTATTAATAATATATCTATCTCTTAAGTTTAGCCTTCATCTTCTTCATTTCACAATACGTTATCAGCACGAATCAGCTCAAAATCTTCAAGAAATCATCATCTCCTGCAGGTATTAACATCAATATCTATTATCTTCTTTTAGTATTCAAATCACAAAAAATTATTTCCTATTTCAAATAAAATTTCTATCATACACGGAAAAGAAAATATCGATACCATACGGACATACCTTTAAATATTCGTCAATCCGAATGAACTCTTCATAAAAGAAATGAGAGAGATATACTCCACAAAAATTAAAAAAAAAAAGAGTATTCGAACTTCTAGTAACCCATATACTCTAGGAAGGCGGTGATCAGTTAGATGTTTTAAATAATACGGAGTATGCATATGAAGAGCAACTTCTGATTTCAAAAGAATAGTGCCGCCCAAAGCTACATATATGAAATACGAAGTGTATTTCAGACATGCAATATAATGCTCAGTAGATATCAAGGATATATTTTAAGTAAAATAATCGACATGTGTCAGCACTTATCCCATTTTGTTTTTTTTTGTTTGAACGGTCATAATACATTGAAGTGCTACTTAGCTCATTAGTCACAAGCATAATAAAAACGAAATTATTCACATCTGTTCATATGTTCATACGTAGTATATATTAAATAAAATAATAAATAAAGTAAAGGGAAATAAATGTTTTCAGAATAATCACATGACTATCATAAGCCTTGTCCGATGAACTCTGTTGTTCTTAGATCAATACAAAGTTTATTTTGTATTTCTACATTATGATCATATTTAACAACTTGTCTAGAAACTGTATATTCTAATTTGAGTTACACTTGATTAAATAATATACATAGTATTATTTAGTCTTATATGAATTATTATAATTTGAGTTAATCTCATGAATTATACTTCAAAGTCTTAATAAACCACTTATTATATACGGATTACAACTTACACTTGAATTTCATTTTACAAATAATAATATTAAATTAACAATTTTGTAGAATATCATGGCAAACATAAGCAAAAGAGAATTCGACGTTCTTGATCTGTCCGGTCAAAAATACCTGGAATGGAAAGTTGATGCTTTAGCACATTTGAAGGCTAATGGTCTCGAAGACACTATTGAGGCTATTAATCAATCATCTTCCCAGGATAAAGCGAAAGCTATAATTTTTCTTCGTCACCATCTCAATAAAAGTCTCAAATCTGAATATCTTTTGGTTGATGACCCAAAAGAATTATGGGACAATTTACAAGAAAGATATGGCCACCAACAAAAGGCACTTTTACCAAAAGCTCAGTATGACTGGATCAATCTAAGATTACAGGACTTTAAATCTATCAGTGACTATAATTCTGCTATGTTCCAAATAACATCCAAATTAAAGTTATGTGGACAAAAAGTCATTGATGCTGATATGTTGGAGAAAACCTTTTCTACAATGCATATCTCTAATATGCTGCTACAGCAGCAATATAGAGAAAAGGGTTTTAAAAAATACTCCGACTTAATATCAGTTTTACTTGTAGCTGAGCAAAATAATGACCTTTTAATGAAGAACCACAATCGAGACCCACTAGTTCTAGTCCTTCTATTTATGGTCCATCCGGCCATAATTTAGCCACTGAATCAATTGCAACACACAGTGGCAGTAGAAGGCATTTTAAATGTGGTCATTATAGTGGTCATAAAAACAAGTCACACTGAGAATACAAACAGGTCGAAAGACCAAATTACAAGGGCAAGGGCAGACAAAAGGCTCATCAAATAAATCGTCCTCCAAAGTCCTCGGGAAAGTCGACTTGTTATAAACGTGGCATGACGGGGCAATGGGCTAATAAATGTCGCACGGCTAAACATCTGGTGGAGTTATTTCAAGCTTCCATGAATCTGAACAAAGGCAAAAATATGGAAGCTAATTATGTCAATGACACAACTCCACCTCTACCAAAATTTGACGTATCCGACTTTTTCGCGGATGATGTCATTATGGACGATGCTTTTGCCATAAACCAAAATGTTACAAAATAAAATAGTGTACTCCTTATGTTGTATAATACTCCCTCTATCCCATTGGAATGTTCCTGTTTACTATTCATTGGTCAACTTAGGTCACTCCTAATCTTTTACTTTATATATCATTTTTTTATCAAATTGAACTTTTCTTGATCAGGCTTTGTAGCGGTTTTAATGTAGTTTCTGAATATGTAAATTTTATTTACTAAAAATAAGCGGAGTGTGAACAGGGATCGAGTTGCTTTATCGTTAGTCAAACATCGTAAACCGAACGGGAACATTCCAACGGGACGGAGGGAGTACTAGTTTTATGTACTTTTTCTTTCTTCCCCTTTTATTTTGTTTTTAAGTAAATGTGTGGACTGTTATGATCAATAATATGCATAATTTGTGATCAAGCTTATGTTTATTTATATATATTGAAGGTATGGATCACTCAAATGATAAAGAGCTATGTCTGATAGACAGCGCCACAACGCACACCATTTTGAGAAATAAAATATATTTTTCTCAAATGACTTTAGTTGAAGCTAAAGTCAATACAATATCAGGTGTTGCGAAGCTCATTGAAGGCTCTGGGAAAGCATATGTGATTCTCCCTAATGGGACAAAAATTATTATAAATGACGCTTTACACTCCAGCAAATCGCGGAGAAATTTATTGAGCTTTAAAGATATGCGTCAAAATGGTTATCACATAGAAACCATGAATGAAAATCAAAAGGAATATCTTTGTCTTACGCCAACTAAATCTGGCACTAAATATATTTGTGAAAAAATGTCAGCATATTCCTCAGGACTATATTTCACATATATTAGTCCATTCGAAATAAATTTGGTTTCTAACACAAAGTTAGATGATCAGAAAACATTCATGTTGTGGCATGACCTTTTAGGTCACCCAGGTCAGGTAATGATGCATAAAATCATTAAGACTTCACTTGGACATCCATTAAAGAATATCAGGATTCCATTGTCAAGTGATTTTCCTTGTAAGGCCTGTTCTCTTGGCAAAATGATCATCAGGCCTTCTATGAACAAAATTGCAACTGAATCACCTGCATTTTTAGAAAGGATTCAAGGAGATATTTGTGGGCCGATATTTAGCATTTTATGGTGTTGATTGATGCTTCAACACGTTGGTCACATGTCAGTCTTTTATCGACTAGAAATTTAGCATTTTCTAAACTCCTTGCTCAAATTATAAGATTAAGAGCTCATTTTCCGGATCATTCTATAAAAAGAATCCGACTTGATAATGCAGGAGAATTTACATCCCAATCATTTAACGACTATTGTATATCGATTGGGATTGATGTGGAGCACCCTGTTGCTCATGTCCATACACAAAATGGTCTTGCCGAATATTTGATTAAACGATTACAATTAATCGCTAGATCATTATTAATGAAGTGTAATTTACCTTCATCAGCCTGGGGACATGCTATTTTGCATGCAGCAAATTTAATCCAGCTTAGACCAACTGCATATCATGAATATTCCCCAATGCAATTAGTAACTGGACAAGAGCTCAACTTAGCACACATTAAGATATTTGGTTGTGCTGTTTATGTTCCAATTGCTCCACCTCATCGTACAAAAATGGGTCCTCAAAAAAGGTTGGGAATTTATGTTGGTTTTGAATCTCCCTCAATAATAAAATATCTCGAACCGATGACTGGTGACTTATTCACAGCACGGTTTGCAGACTGTCATTTCAATGAGACAGTGTTCCCAACCTTAGGGGGACAAAAGAATAAATTAGACCCAAGTACGAAAGAGATAACGTGGAATGCAACAGAGTTATCACATCTTGACTCAAGAACAAATATATGTGAGCAAGAAGTTCAAATGATAATCCATTTACAAAATGTTGCAAATCAGTTGCCTAATGCGTTCACAGATACAAAGAAAGTGACAAAGTCACATATTTCTGCTATGAATGCCCCTGCCAGGATCGAAATCCCAGCAGAGAATTTTGAAAAATCACTTGCAAATGATTCTTTTATACGCAAAAAGCGTGGCAGGCCACTTGGATCAAAAGACATAAACCA